TTAATATTCAACTAACATAGATTAAACATGTTTAGGGTTAATTCCTATTGATTGCATGTTAATCGAAAAGCGCACATGAATACGAGCAGAATAAAGTAGAGGCCTATTATTAGGGCAGGTTCAATCTCTTTTAGGTTGGATTTGTACCTTCATCCCCGAACCCTTATTTGGTTCATAACCTTATGGAGTTGACGATCTCTTGGATCGTTAAAGGGTCTAACCTTCACCTCGTGAACGGTTTACAAGTTCCTTAAAAACTTGTTGGCGACTCTTTTGCTCTATCTTCTTCCCTTTTGGACACCACCGTACTTTAGTGTATGATCACAGTGGGGTTCAAGCTAGTGGGATTAAGGCTTGAAATTATTCCCTACAATGATACTAGGAATCAATAAAATAAACTAAACATGATTTCTATATCAAAATATCAATAAAAACAATTAAAGTACTTACTTCGATGCTTTGTACCTCTTTCTAATAACAAAATACACGCGTTAGTAAGTTCAAGGAAAAGTAATAAAACAAACAATTAAATTAAATAATTGAAATAGAGATTAGGGACCAAACCCTCAGAAATTATCAACCTTTCACGTCTAGGGCGAAGGCAACTTCGAACTTGTCTATGTGTGTCTAAAACTAATGTATGCGGAATTTTGCAAAAGGGAAGGTTTAGAAAAAGAATAGAGAGAGAAAGAAAGCTTCTAGCTTTTAGAGAGAGAGAAAGAGAGATGATTGTAGATGTTGATGATTTGAAAACAGGGAGATACGACCCCTATTTATAAATATTATAATAAAAACAGCACGGGATCAAAGAAAATCATATTCAGCGTAATACCCCTCCCGTCGCAAACGACAGGTGCCAGCTCCAAACGACGAACCTCGTCGCCAGGCGACGGGGCCAACGCCAGGCGACGAAGGTCAGCGCCTGGCGACGACTTTGTCGTCTCGCGTTGGTCCAAAAATCAACACGCTTTTCCACGCGTAATTACCTTTAACACCGGTTGCAGGTAATTAAGCATCCGGGCAGTTTTCGAAATTAGATTTAATATTTTTATTCTAAATCAACGTTACATGGAACGCGGGACGTTCCGGAACTTGGTACGGGAACGTGGAACGTAGCCTTTAAAGTTCCCGGAACGTATGGTCATTTATTTTAATAGTGTTTTAAAAATTTTATTACTGATATTTACCGTAAATAAATACACATACAAAAAAAAAAAAAAAAAAAAAAAAAAAAGATAAAGGTGGAAATTGTAATTAATAAGCAGTATTGATTCCCGTGTAGGCAATTTAAATTTAGTACAGTGATTACAGTGTAGGCATTCTAGGCAATTTAATACCACGTAAATAGAAAGAAAAGGGGATATAGGGGTCCACAATAGTACTGTGTAGGCAATTTTTTTTTAAAAAAAAAAGAAAGAAAAGGGAACATAGGGTCCACAATCTTGCTCTAGACTTATTTATTTGCACGTTTCTTCATCTCCCTCCTCCATAGATGAAAACTTTTTATTTTGAAACACCATTGACAAAACCTTTAAAGTGTTTTAAGCTTTCAATTAAACATGAAATTATAAACAAATAATAACCCAATTGTCACTCAAGATTGCGTCCTAGATCTTACTAAAATCGGGTTCATCGTCATCGACGAACCAGAAGGCGAACCAGATTGCGTCAGATCCGCGTTTCGGTACGGACGTTCCGGTACGGGGAACGCTATACCGTCCCGCGTTCCGGGTAACATTTTTCTAAATAAAACATTCTTTTTAAAATAATAGTTAATAGGTCCTTTTCTAGATCATCGGGTCACCTTTAAAAATCAATGGGCCCTAATCTAATTTAATCCATAATTTTCTCATAAGCCATCGGAATTGGGCCTATAATATATCATTGGATAGCTCTTTTCGAGCCCTATCGAACTACACTATTATTGGACCTTTATTATGGACCAAACCAAATTGGACTGGCTATTTTTCATAAAATAAGAGTAAACAAATAAATATTTTTAGAAAATAGAAAGAGAAATATTTTAATAAAAACATTCTCATCATTAGACTTTCCACACTTTCACCTCGTTCGATAATCAAATGACGTGAAAGGTATTTATCATCGGGTTTGGTTTTGGGGAGACCCATTTGGGTGTCTACACATATAAAACCTAATATTCTTATGAAGTCGAACCATGGGATGCAAGCTAAGTTTTTTTTTTAATTAAATGTATCCAATAGAGCAGAGTTTTCCCTCTATATATGTTAAGATCATTTCAAGGTATAGGTTTTACCACCTTAATGCATGCTATAATTAGAAAAGTCTCTCGGCTATGGGAGAGAGACTGCCATTAATGTAACACCCTAATAATTCTCTCTCTAAATATATGAGTTTCCTGAACAAAATCCAAGAGAATTACTGGCGTGTTACCGCCACGTGTTCAAATGTTAAGGCTATATAAGAAATTAGCAGCGAAAAAACTAATTCAGTTATAAATAAGTTTCAAAACCAACAAATAAAACCAAATTAAGTATTACAAGTTGAAACCATTAAGGCCCTTATTCAAAACCCAACAAAATTAGTAAATGAATAAAACAAGAGTTTAAAGAAATTCAAACTTATGAAAAGAAATAAACTGCGAACAATAAACAACTCTCCACTTAAAATCCCACCACCTTAATGCAAGTCCAAACTATGTAAAACCTGTGATGAATCTGCTCCCTAATATTACAAGTGTAAAGATTGGATCATCACAGGGTCATTAAAAGGCAAAGGCCATGCCAAAGAAAGACACACAAAAGCATGCAATCAGCAAAGCTGAGTACATACAAGTTACGAAAAATAATAAGAAATTCCTAGCATGCTACTAACAATCAATCATCAAATACAATTTAATTATAAACTCAAACACATGTCAATTGTTTACATTACTAAGACTCCATTAAATAATAATAGGTAAATCATTCCATTTTATTCATTGGATTAAGCAATAGACAAGGTTGTCCATCCCATGCTCTATTTGGAACATCAATATCACTACTAGAAATGGGCCAATTTCCGACCGAATTATGCCGACGGACATGATATTCCGTCGCAAATCCTATAATCAACGACGGATTTAAGTTTGACGCTAATTTTGGTCGGAAAACATAGTTAACGACGGAAATTTCCTCGCAAAGTTTCCGACTGAATTTAATTCGGTTGGAAAATATAGTTTTCGACGGAATATTCCGTCGTAAATTTCCGTCGGAAAATTAATTAGACAAAAGTCAAGGGTTTTGATGTTGGGTCCATTTTCTACGAATTCAAAAGAAAGAGAGAGGAAGAAACAGAGAGGAACGAAAGAAAGAAGAAAGAAAGATCCGCCGCCGTCCTTCCGTTCGCCGCAGCCGGAGATCCGTCTTCCGTTGGTCGACCCGCCCTTCCGTTGGTCGGCCGCCGGTAAGTGTAGGTTTTGTTTTGTTTTTTTTTAAAAAAAAAATATAAACACGCCTCCACTCCACTACAATTAACCACCGTCTGCAACAGCCACCACCCTGCGCCGGTCAGAGGTCCCGCGTCGCCCAACCACCGCCGGCGCCTTTACAAGCAGCCACCACCGCCGGTCAGTGTAGGTTGTGTTTTGTTTTTTTTTTTTACTTTTATTTTTAAATTTTAGTCTGAAAATCCTTCGAACAACCACCACCGCCGGCGCCTTTACAAGCAGCCACCACCGCCGGTTCCTCCTCCATTATTGTCCTCGCTCCAACCACCACCATCTTCACCACCCGCCGTTCTACAACCGGTAATTGTACATTTATTATATATATATATTTTTTATTTTAAAAAAAATAATTGTACCTTTATTATAAAAATTGACATATTAATTTTTACTATTTGTAGGATTTGAACATTTACTTGCTTTGAATCTCAATAAATAGTGCAGATCTTGAGGTTAGTGACATGACATTTTTAAAATTCTTAGTTTAGTTTATTTTGTTATAATTTTAAGTTACTTTAGTTTGATTTATTTTATTATAATAATGGTTGATATGTTAGTTTAATTTGGCTTATCATAATAATGTAAGACATGACATGTGAAATTATAATAATGTAGGGGCTTATCATAATAATGTATGACATGATATGTTAGTTTAGGTTGATATTTTATTATAATAATGTACGGGATTATATGTTAGTTTATATTGGTTTTGTTTAGTATAATGATGTATGTTAGCTTAGTTTAATTTGTGATAATTTTATAATGTATATTAGTTTTGTTTTATGTAATGTAATGTTCACTAGTTTTGTTTAGTTAATGTAATGATTAATAATTTTTTGTATCAATTTAATTATGAATATAAATTGTTTACATATGATTATTTATATTAATTAAATGATGATTATGATATATTTGGTTTACTTATAATTATTAATTTAATTTAATTAATTGTGTTCTTTACTTTATAATGGTTGTGTTACTTGCTTGAAATATTTTAAAATGAGCGTGTTATAATAATGGATGTGTTATAATGAATGTGTTATAACAATGGATGTGTTTTGGGATTTATATACTTTTGAATGAATCATTTGCATAATCATTTGCCTAGATACCCGTTCAAGTCATACTCATTAGGAGTATGACTTGAATAGTCCCCGGTTGGGACTGTCCTTAGACCTTTATTCTCACTTAGGTGGTGAATGTATGCCTTGTTATTGATTTTAGGGATTATCCTGCTTTGTCATTTCTCTACAATGTTCTCTGGGTACATATGACGGGTTATCTAATACCCTTGATCGTGTACTTGGAGAACTTAAGGGAAATGCTGCCGGATTTTCCATAGAATTGAAAACCTGGCATACATTCGCTAGTGAGATTAAATGTCCAAGGATGGGTTAGGTTGGAGTGATAAGGACCTTTGGACATCATTTACAATCTTATTTGCATATTCATAACATTTTTATGGATAATGAATATTCAATACGCATTGTGACTAATGTAATTATACATATTCGTGAGTTGTGTAGAAGTTGTAATCATGAAACGAACAGAACATAGCTGGATGTATGAAAGGAAGGTTGGACATTTTATTAATCCGGATTTTGTGAAAGGGGTAGATGAATTCCTTAAATACGTGGAAGATCATCCCGAGAGCAGCAACCCGAATGAAGTTAGGTGTCCATGTTTTAAATGTAAGAACAAGCGGCTATGGTATGCGGAAACGGTTAAAATTCATTTGTACCGCAAGGGTTTTGTGCCTAATTACTATGAGTGGATGTGTCATGGGGAAGGGTTTCCGGGAGTTCCTGAAGGGCCGTCAAATGAATACCGTGAAATGGTTTTCGATGCTTTTGGTCATAATGAAGATCAAGGGCATTCTGAAGAGGCAGAGGAGGAGCCTAATGCACAAGCTAAGCATTTCTTAGATTTGTTAAAAGCTTCCGAACAACCATTATACAAAGGGAGTTCGTTGTCTGTCTTAGAGATGGCTGCCCGAATTACTAGTCTTAAGTGCGAGTATAATTTGCCCCATAGATGTGTTGATGGGTTTGCTTCTTTGGTCAATGAGGCTATTCTTAACAACAACCATATGGCCGATACATTCTATGAGGTGAAGAAGATTGTAAAGGGGTTGGAGTTGCCTCATGAAAAGATTCATGCATGCCCGAAAGGATGTATGCTATTTTGGAAGGATGATGTTCAACTATCTTCTTGTCGGGTGTGTGGTAGCGACCGATACAAGAAGACTTCCAAAGGTAGCTTAGTGCCTTTGAATGTTTTAATTTACTTTCCGATCACACCGAGATTGCAAAGGCTCTATGCAACCAAGAACATTTCGGAGGAAATGACATGGCATTCGAAAAATCCTCGAGTTCAAGACACAATGGCGCACCCTAGTGATAGTGAAGCTTGGAAACACCTTGACAATTGCTTCCCAGAATTTTCCAATGAGCCTCGTAATGTTCGACTTGGCTTGTGTACAGATGGTTTTGCTCCTCATGGTAAGTTTGGGGGACAATATTCTTGTTGGCCTGTCATATTGACCCCTTATAACTTGCCTCCCTCAATGTGTATGAAAAGACAACTCATGTTTCTTTCATTGCTTGTTCCTGGTCCTAAGAACCCTAAGGGCAATTTGGATGTGTATATGCAACCGCTGGTAGAAGAGTTGAAGCATTTATGGGAAGTTGGCGCAAATACTTATGACATTTCAAGGAAACAAAATTTTAATCTTCGAGCAGCCATCCTGTGGACCATTAGTGACTTCCCAGCTTACGGTATGTTGTCTGGTTGGACCACAGCGGGTAAGAAGGCTTGTCCTTATTGTATGGATAAAAGCAAAGCATTTTGGCTTGAACATGGTGGCAAAGTTTCTTGGTTTGATTGCCATCGCCAATTCCTTCCAACAGAACACCCTTTTCGAAAAAGCAAAACTGCATTTTATAAAAACAAAGTAGAAAAAGGTTCATCGCCACACATCATGTCAGGTGAGGAATTGTGGGAATGTGTGAGACACCTTCCAAAGGCAACTGATGGAGCGGAGGCATTGAAACACCTAAAAAAAGCAAAAAAGGGGTGGTTCAAGCAAAGCTCGTTGTGGGAACTTCCTTATTGGAAGCATTTGCTCATCCGTCACAACTTGGATGTCATGCACATTGAAAAGAACTTCTTTGATCAGCTAATCCACACCATAATGGATGTGAAAAAGCATACATGTGACACGCCATCGGCTCGAAATGACATTGCCAAATATTGTAAACGGCCACAACTTCATATGGATGAAGATGATAGAGGAAAAGAGTTTATGCCAAAAGCCCCATTCGCTCTTGACAAGGCTCAAAGAAAAGTGTTGTGTGAATGGGTTAAACAGTTGCGTTTTCCAGATGGATATGCCTCCAATTTGAGAAGATGCGTAGATTTACAAGCCTGTAAGCTTCATGGAATGAAAAGCCACGACTGTCACGTGTTCATGGAGAGGTTGTTGCCCACTGCTTTGAGGGAATTGCTCCCTACCCATATTTGGAATGCGGTTACAGAGATCAGTCAATTAATAAAAGAAAAACCCCATGCTCCTTTCGGAAACATCAATAAAAACATTCAACGACCACGGGCGCGACTCCGTGACCGTAGCTTGTATGAGATCTCATCTAACTTCTAGTTTTGAAAAGTATTTGAAATATGAGACTCGTAGATCAGACGACCTCGAGAAAAGTGCACGGCTAATACCCCGTGTACCCAACCCCTGATTGTCATTACTCCAGATGTGCACCAATCTAGAGTTTTATTGCTCATCCATCTTGCACTTTACGTGATTTACAAGTTTAGACTTGGTGATGACTCATATGCAAAACAATACAATCAATCCAATATCAATTCAATCAAACAAACCAAACCAAACTTAATTCAATTCTTGATTTATTAGTGACAAGCAATGTTTATTATTGATTCCTTTAACTACCTCGGTGTATAAACACCTTGAGTTCATAGGGCACCCCAAAACCTTAATCTCGCATTATAAGGCTTGAATTCTTCCTTTACTCATTTTATTTCAATAATCATGAACAAAATAAATAAATCATTCCGCCAAATCACATACCTTTGCCTCTAAGCGCATCTTGCAAAATTAATACATAAATAATATTTGCAAAGTAAAATAGTGCACAACATACGGAAATCACATTGTATAACGAAACACTTATGCCCAGTCTTCTCTATACATGATACTAATAAGTTCTCGACACATCCTTATACATGCTTCTAAATGCAAGGTTTCGTAACTCGTACGTACCTTGAATAAACGAATTGGTATGCCACTTTACTAACTAGAAATCATCTTCAATAAAGTCCTCTCCTAAACCAAACAATAAGATCTCAATCAATACCTAACATGTCTGTTTTATAAAGTATTTTACCCCCGTCCCTTGGTCATAATTAGTAGTGCTTTTGGCTCTTTAGAGCCACTTTTATTACTAATTGGTGTTTTCTAGTGTTTTCGTAGTTTTGGTTGACTTTTGTGGGGATTTGCACTTTTTGGAGCATTTTCCCGAGATATTATGGAGTGACTACGAACATTGGAGGAGCACAACCATTTTTTATAGCCCAAGGCCGGTTAGAGTCATCGAACCGGTGATTAAGGGCTTAGCATTTGAGATTCCGAGGCATTTGGACCGAGTAATCAAGACCCGAAGAGGAAATCTGGATTGGGCCGAAGAATCGAAGCCCAATCAATAAGTCCAAACGTGCCCAAGTGCCCGGGCCCGGCCAAGAGAGCTCCTGACCGGGCGGGGAAGAGAAGTTCGCGCCCGCCCGGACGCGAGAGAAGCTCTTACTGAAGAAAAGGCGGGCTTGATCGGGCGCAAGATTTTTAGAGCTAATTCTGGCGATTTATTTTAGTTTTAATTAGGAGTATTTGTTTTAGATATAAATACGATTTTAATGCTTTCAATTAGGACCTCTTCTCTCAGACTTTTTCTCTCTACTTATCTTTAGATTAGTTTTCTCTCTCTATAACTTTGTTCTTAATTCAACTCCTTAATTCTTATTTCTTTGGTAACGATTTCTTCTACTTTAATCTCAGTTATTTACTTTATTTCTTCCATCGTGTCTCCTTTAATTGCTTTGTTTAGTTTATATTTAATTATGTGTGAGTAGTTTAATTCTAGGGTTTTGGGCAATCCATAATTAATATGAAGGGATAATTTGTTATTGATGATTATTGATGTTGCATGATAATTTCTTATTGAATAGTTTTAACGCTTTACAACCAGATTATGAATCGAGCAGATGTGATTTGCTTGTAAAAGTATAGCAATATTGAATTGATGAATCAAGCAGATGTTAATTTGATATTAAAGGCTATTTTCAATAGGAACTTAGATCTAGTAAATTGCGAGAGCCTGTTAGATCTATGTTGATTAATAAATTGCGAGAGCCTGTTAATCATGTTATATGTGCAATGTTAATTATCGGTTGTTATGTTTTATCCCGAATTATTAATTATTGATGAACCTGTGACCCTAGGCCTTTTATTATTGATTTCTTCCTACTCTTAATCTTCGTAGTTAGTTCCCTTTTATTAATAACAATTTGGTTACTTGATAATCTAGATTATAATAATTAATTAGGAATAGAAAGACGCAGTTTCCCTGTGGATTCGACCCTACTTCCCTATCTATTATTAGTTAGTGGTTTTAGGAATTACTTTTGATTAGGTGATAAGACTTTAGCCTGTCAAAATTTGGCGTCGTTGAGGGGAAACAATTTTTTTTTTTTTTTTTTTTTTATTTCTGATTGTTTTCAGTAGTTTAGGTTATTTCTTCTTGTCTCAGAGAACGTTAGTTCTTTGAGGCAAGTCTCATATTTGCTTTCTAGTTCTTTGTTTATGCCCAGGTGTTCCAGATCATGCCATATCACATTCGATCCTGAGATCGAACGATCTTTACATAGACAAAAGAATCTTTACAGGCAAATCCTGGCGGGTTCTGGTGATAACAATAATCGCCTAGACCCTCCAACTGATTCTAGCGATTCAGAGGTATCTTCAGATCCAGAATCAGAGATGGCGATACCTAAGAAGCTCAGTGATTATTCGCAGCCAAAGCTTATAGATTTTCCACATCTTACTCCCACTCCGGCTCTTGATGGGGTATAATTTGAGATTAAACCCCAATTTATGACGATGATAGAAAGGAAGCAATTCAGTGGATCTAAGGGTGAAGACCCAAATCTTCATATTGCAGACTACTGTCAATATTGTAATACCATCAGGCAAACTAGGGTCACACAGGACCAAATCAGGTAGATTCTCTTTCCTTTCTCTTTATGTGGAAAAGCCAAATTATGGTATAATGGATTAAACAACTACACTTGGTATAACAGACTGGGAGACTCTTGTTTTAAATTTTTATAATAAATATTACCCTGAAGAGAGAACAGCTGTACTAAGGAGTGCCATTCAGAACTTTGCCCAAGTTCCAGATGAAACTCTATATGAGGCTTGGGAGAGGTTCAAGGATATACAGAAAGAATGCCCCCACCATAATCTGGCACAATGGCAGTTAATCCAAGCCTTTTATAGTGGATTGGAAATTCATCTAGAACAATATTGGATTCTGCAGCTAGTGGGAGGTTTATGAACCTTAATGTTGATGATGCAGGTCAAGTTATTGAAGATATGGCAATTCATAATTCCCAATATGGGAATCCCAGAGGCTTTGCTAACAAGGGGAAACATAGTGTCAACTGATAGGCTAAAGTCGAATCACCTAATCAAAGTAATTCCTAAAACCACTAACTAATAATAGATAGGGAAGTAGGGTTGAATCCACAGGGAAACAAGTCTTTTTTATTCCTAATTAACTAATATAATCTAGATTATGAAGTAACCAAAATATTATAATCAAAAGGAACTAAACTACGAAGATTAAAAATAAGGAGAAAACAATGAATTGAAAGGCCTAAGGCATAGGTTCACCAATAAATAATATTCCAGGGTAAAGCATAATAATCAATTATCAATGCATAAATTAATCAGATTATAAATGGCTTTCGCTACGTTTACAATCACACAACTAATTTACCTGTACTAAATCCCATCTCTCGAATCTCGACTTAACTATTTATAAATTAACCTGCCTATTGAAGCTAAACCTAAACATCAATTCTCATCTTTTTAATCTCGAATCAATATTGTCAAACTCATGCATAAAAGATCTGCGCGAATCTAGTCACAGAGCATTAAATCAATCAATAGGAAATTAATCTAACATTGACAATTAACAACAATAAATTACCCCTTCATATTATTTATGGATCCCCATAAACCCTAGAAACTCAGACATAATTAAATCTAAACAAATCAAAGTAATAAAACAAGACATGATCAAAGGAATAAAATAACTAAGATTAAGAGAAGAGAAATCGTTACCAAAGAAATCTGGAATTAAGAATAGAGTTAAGAACAAAGTATATGAGAGAGAAACTAATCTAAAAGCTAAGTAGAGAGAGAAAGTCTAAGAAATAATTAAGAAAAAGTAAAAAAAGATACTAAACTCGCTTAACGGAAAAGTATTTAAACTACGCGAGAATCCTAAACTAAAACAAACTTAAATGTCGATAATTAACCCCTAATAATAACACGCGCCCGATTGGGCGAGGCACCGCCTGATCGGGCGTGCCTTTTCTCTATCAGGTATAATTCTTGAGCCCGGCCGGGCGCGCCTCCGGGCGCCAGCCTCTTTAGCCAGGCGGCACTCTTGGGCCACTATTTGGACTTCGATTGGGCTCCAATTCTTCGGGCCAATCTGGATTTCCTCTTCGGGTCTTGAATACTTGGTCCAAATGCCCCGGTATCACATATACCGAGCCCTTAATCACCGGTTCGATAGCTCTAACCGGCCCTGGGCTATAAAACTGGTTGCGCTTCTCCAATGCCTGTAGTTGCTCCATAATATCTCGGAAAAATGCTCTAAAAGTGCAAATCCCTACAAAAGTCAACCAAATCTACGAAAATACTAGAAAACACCAATTAGTAATAACAGTGGCTCTAAAGAGCCAAGAACACTACTAATTATGACCAAGGGATTGGGGTAAAATACTATATAAAATAGACATATCATCGACTCTGTATCCTTCTTACAAGCTCAATTAACCTCTATTTGCCAAAAATTAGATAATCTTAGTGATGTAAATATAGCTAATGTTTATGCAATTAATAATAATGCTAATGAGGCTTTTTGTGAAAATTGTGGAATTGTAGGTCATTGGGAGCAAGATTGCAGGAGTTCCATGGAGCAAGTCAATGCCTTTCTAGCTTGTAGGCAGAACGACCCTACGTACTCCAACACCTACAATCCTGGGTTCCGGAACCATCCATATCTTTCCTACCGAAGCACCAATGTTCAAAATCCGCCACCTCCACAACAATCACAGGCGTCACAACAAACACAACAAAAATATTACCACCCCAATGCTGACCAGAACAACCCTCCTCATCTTCTGTCCCTGCTTTGGCAGAAATTAGAGCGATGCTGGCTAGTATGCAGAAGCACATGGAGAGTAGAGATGCCCAAATTGATTCGATCATAGCACATAATAAAATTGTAGATAATCAAATTGCGCAGATTTCTACTACTCTACAAGCCAGTCAACAGGGAGCTTTGCCAGCACAGCCAACTAGGCCTACAGATCAAGCTTTTGCAATTACTCTAAGGAGTGGTTCACACTATGAAGGGCCCACTATGCCCCGAAATGATGAACCTGTTTTTAATAAATAATGATATCTTGATTCCATTAAACCTAACAATGTAGCTAATAGCCCTGCAGGGCTAAAGAGTAGTACTAATATTTCTGATAATACATTACGACTCTAGGGGAGGTAGCAGCTCCAGATAAGAGCAGTATTGCTCCAAAGCCAGTTATCAAACTTCCATTCCCCAATCGTCACTTAAAAACAAATTTGGATAAGCAGTTTGGTAAGTTTCTGGAGATGGTTAAAGATTTGCAGGTAACAGTTCCCTTCACTGAATTAATTACACAAATTCCTGCATATGCAAAATTCATGAACAACCCCTCCTTTTCCGGTGAAGCTCGGACACCTTACCCCTTTCCCCTTCCCACGAACAACCCATACTCCCCAAATTCCCCCACCCGACGCACTGCCCTCCTCCCATTTCTCCTCCCCTATCCACCGCATAAACGCCCCTTCCTTCCCGGAATGACCCCGCCCCCTATTCTCCAGCCCCCAAAACTTCAGATCCAATTCAAAATGTAGGGAATATTACAAGCATTATCCCTAGCTTGAATCCCACTGTGATCATACACTTATGCATGGTGGCGTCCAAAGGGAAAGACGATAGAGCAAAAGAGTCGCCAACAAGTTTTAGGTACTTGTAAACCGTTCACGGGGTGAAGGTTACACCCCTTAACGATCCAGGAGATCGTCAACTCCAATAGGTCTGGAACCATGACTGGTAGTTTGGGGATGAAAGTACAAATCCAACCTTAAAGAGATTGAACCTGCCCTAATAATAGGCCTCTACTTTATTCTGATCGTATTCATGTGCGCTTTCTGACTAACATGCAACCAATAGGATTAACCCTAAACCTGTTTAATCTATTTTGGTTGAATATTAATGCAAAAATAAAACTATTATTGGAGATCACTTGAATTATAATCAAATTAACCCTAAACAAGATTATTAATTATCTTATTAAGCGTGATTACAAGTACAAATTCCCTTTAAACATGCATAAAAGGTGTGATCAAGCAATAACTATAATAATCATCAAGCAACATAATAATAATCAAAAATTAATAATAATAACCATAATCATAATCATAATCATTCATGTTAAATCATAATAATAGCAAGATCCTAGGCATGATACTAACAAGATTAATAACAAACCCTAGCATGTCACTAAGCATGTAAAAATCAAAGCTTTAACCCTAACATGATACTAACATGAATATTAGGAAAGAAAATAGGAAGCATCGTAGGAATCATAATAAACATATTTGATATTATAACCTTTTCCCTAAACATAATACTAGGAATCATTGTTAACATCAAGCATCCTAACATGATACTAGGAATCATAATAACAACCTAGACATGATTTCTATATCATAATATCTATGCAAACAATTAAAGCACTTACTTGGATGCCTCGTATCTCTTTCTAATAACAAAATACTCGAGTTAGTAACTTCAAGGAAAATAATAAATCAAATAATTAAATTAAATAATTGAAATAGAGATTTGGGACCAAACCCTCAGAAATTTACGTCTTGGGCGAAGGCAACTTCGAATTTGGCTAGGTGTTTCTACATCTTGTATGAGGAATTATATTTGTAAAAGGGTTGGTTTAGAAAGAGAGAGAGAGAAAATAAGCTTTAGCTTAGAGAGAGAAGAGAATTAGAAAACTAGAGAGTTTATGGAAATTGATTATTGTTGAAAATTGATGATTAAAAACAGAATTTTAAGAGGCTATTTATAGAGAAAATCAGTCGAATGGATAAAAAAACGAATAAGAGTTACAACGAGAATAAAACACGATTAGCACCAGACGCTGGTCATTAGCGCCAGGCGCCAAGCCTTAGCGCCAGGCGCTAATGCTTGTCGTCAGGCGCTAATAATCAGTTTCACGCGTTTTTGTTTTTATCATATCTTTTGATCCGGAAGTCCAAATAAGGCATATAATATGTCGTTGGAAAGCTGTTAAAGTCTAATTTCCAACCTAATTAAAATCAGAATAAAATCTTTTGTAGATAAAAAGATATGGCTGAAATAGTGAAAGGGTGTCAGTTTTGGATAGAGTTTTGTATCTCATTCATATCTTTTTCGTCATAGCTCGGATTTAATATTATAATATATCATTGGAAAGATAATTTCAAGATCTATCCAACCATATAAAATTTGGATAAAGATTATGAGGAACGAAAATAAAATCTAAATATATTCCACTTCGTACAAAACAAGGATTATAAAAAGGAGTAGTTTTATTCAATTTCAAACTCTTTAAAACATAATTATCAATCCTAACTCCATTAGGAATTAAAAGAACCTTCTAGAGTATTCTATAAGACTATAATCAATCCTAATAACTTTAGGAATGATAATTAATAATAGGCCCCTCCTCTAGATCATTGGGCCGCAGGTAAAACCCGGTTTGGGCCCAGTTTAGTATTTTTGCCATAACTTCCTCATTATTCATCGGAATTGAGCTTATAATATATCGTTGGAAAGGTATTTTCAAGCCCCATCCAACTACACCATTATTGGACCCATATCATGGACCAAACTAAACCAGAATGCACGTTTTTCAATAAAAGGGTAAGAAAAGAAATATTTTCAAAAACAGAAAGAAGAGATATATATTTTAATAAAAACATCCTCATCACTAGACTTTTCACACTTTCGCTTTGTTCGATAATCAAATGACATGAAAGGTATTCATCACTGGGTTTGGTTTTGGGGAGACACATTTGGATGTCTACACAAAACTACCCAGAAATCCCGACGAGAAACGTACCTTAAACAACCCCAAAACCATCGGGGGGTGGTGAAATAAGCCAACGGGGTGAGCTTCTCCAGCGGGGGAAGGGGAAATAAGCCAGC